AATAAAAGTTTTCTTCTTTACAACCTCATTAACATTGTTGTGAGCTATATATTTTAATATCATAATTTATTTGTGAGCTAGAGGGAGCTGCGAGCTTTGGTGATGTAATGTGATGTGAAGTTCATGTGTTAGTCCTTGAAATGTATTGGACAAGGGTAGTAACGCTTGGAGACGGCTTGGAAGAGTAATGAAGAAAAACTTTAATATAAGTAACAACAAGTGTACAACGTTTCGACAAGGTTTTGTCATCATCAGGTACAAGTAGTTTACACTGACACATATATATATATATATACAGTATAGAACATAGAGGTCACACGACCGACCGGACACTGTTGCAAGACTTAGAAGAGATACTCTTGGGACATCAGGGTTGGTTTAGAGTAGGGTTGTTTTGTTCAATTAAGATGGATTCCTGGATTTTTCGTTTGTTTATGTTTGGTTCTTTGTTTAAAATTACTGTGTTTTTAATAAATATACTATAGTTTTTGAGTTGCAATGGTGGAAAACATGGAACGGTTTTTATTGTTCTGTGAATCTGGTTTTCAATTTTCTTTCTGTTTCTCCAATGAAGAATTCTGGACAATTATTGTATGTTATTTTGTAAATGACGTTGGTATTGTGTGGTTGTAAATAATTTTTGTGTAGTAACGATTTCAAGTTAGGGTCGGGTTTTTGAGAGAATTTGACGTTGACAGGAATATTGTGTTTAATGGCTAGTTTTGTCCAATTGTGGATAATTCTTGAGCTGGTTTCAGGGACAAAAGGTAAACTGCAGTGTAATGTTTGTTAGTATCAATTTTGTAGTTGAGTTTTGTTGTGGGTAATGTTGGAGAGTTTTCAACAATAGCTCGTGGAGATTTATTGGTGTGAATGAAGTAATGCATTATGTGGTTGATTTCTTCATTTATGTAGTCCGTTGAACAGTCTTGTGGCTGTGTTTATGAGGTTTTTGAGTGTACTGATTTTTTGTGTGGTGACATGAGCGGAATTCCATGGGATGTAGAGACCAGTGTGTGTGTTCTCTTACAGTGAATTTTGGTTTTAAACTGTGTGTCCAATCTAATAATGTTGAGGTTAAGAAAAGATAACTGTCTATTGTTTTCGTGTTCTATGGTATATTTGATGTTGGGATGAATGGAATTTATGTGTTCAAAGAAAGTTGGTGTGTGTTCTGTAGAAGTGAAACCAGCAAGTGTCATCGACATATATGTACCAATATAGTGGGAGATGAAGCTCAGAATGTATGGCTTGTGTTTCGATCTGGGTCATAAGTATGTTGGCAAGAACGGGCAAAACAGGATTGCCCATTACTTAAACCATCTATTTGAAGGAAATGTTCGTCATCGAAAATGAAGTTGGTTTTAGTTGTTGTAAATTCTAAGAGAGAGGCAAAAAAGTGTACTGGGGATGTGGATTAACTTGTTGGGGTCATTAATGTAGAGGTCGAGTGAATACTACAGGCTTCATTAGCAGGGACTTCGGTGAAGAGTGACACGACATCAAAAGATATCTCTTCTAAGTCGTGCAACAGTATCTGGTCATGTGACCTATTTGTTCCATACTGTATATATATATATATATATATCTGTCAGTGTAAACTACTTGTACCTGATGATGACAAAACCTTGTCGAAACGTTGTACACTTGCTGTTATGTTAAAGTTATATTAACGTTTTTCTTCATTGCCCATTCAAGCCGTCTCCAAGCATTATTAGTCTCAAAGTGTGTTCCTCGTCATCGAATTTCAACAAGGATCGGTTATGAAAACGACGTTCCCTGAAACGTCGTCTTGATTATCGCATGAGTAAATGGATTGATTGTAAAGTTAGTCCTAGCACTGTTGTCAGAGAGTTATATCATCATTTGTAAAAGTAGGCTCGACAAATTTTGACAGTTTTAGAATTAAAGTACCTTAAGCTTATAGAAACGTTAAAAGGAAGAAATATATTTAATATCCTTTGGACGTTAAATTACTTTCACCTAATAATTTAAAAGAAATCGTAAAAAGGGATTAATTTATAGCAATGATATATTTTCATCCTGCTTATTTTTTTGCAATTCAAGCGATTGAACACAACATATTTCTGCACTGTAATATTAGGAAAAATGTTTGTATTGAAAACTGTGTTCTCTGCAGGGTTTGGGTTAAAGAAATAACAGCAGAAGAGTTGCGTTTTTTTTAGCCTTAACCTGGAAACCGCCCTTGGTTAAATATTACAAGACTATTGTACAATTGTAGATTAAAAACCGTTAAATTTGATGTCAGCTTGTATTTCTTAAAGCATTCTCATAAATTTCTTCCTGTCTTGCAAAAGTAGCTTATGGATCACGAACTGTTGAACTACTTTACTTTAGTTTCAAGAAGGTTTGTTAAGTCTCATAAGACAATATTATATATCTTTAGTGATTAAATACACTATTATTACTACCTCACTTTAGTTTCAATAGGTTTCGTTAACTAATTCCTAAATTAGTACGAGTGAACGTATGACAGGATAATAGGACGTTTGGGTTTTGAGACACATTTCAATATCATATACAGCGTCTTGTTAATGGGGAGGGGGGAGGGGGCTTGGTTTGTTTTGAGTTTCGTGCAAAGCTACACGACGGCTATCTGCGCTAGCCGTCCTTAATTTAGCAGTGAAAGACTAAAGGGAAGGCAACTAGTCATCACCACCCACCGCCAACTCTTGGGCTACTATTTTACCAAAGAATAGTAGGATTGACCATCACTTTATAACGCCCTCACGGCTGAAAGGGCTTGTTTGGTGGGAGGAGAATTCGAACCATCGACTCTTAGATTAAGTGTCAAGCGCCCTAACCACCTGGCCATGGGGAGGAGGGGGAAGTCACCAGTAATACATTTATCTGCTTCGACTATAGCTTTTAACTTTCATACTAGGAATTGCTAAAATTGTTCCATTAATTGAATAATACTTGGTATTTTATTTTTTTAGTTTTATTTTTTTTCAAAAACATCTTAAATAATGAATATTATTTTAAACTAAAGAGGTCAGCACAATCAATGTGAATGATGTGGCTGTATCTTTGAATTTCCAACCATCTACTTGCTTATATTGAACCTCCAAGGTCTACCAAAAAGATTTAAACACCGATAAATAAGAAGTGGACTGTTGAAAACTGAAACATGAGGTGAACATGATTTGTTTTGAAAATAAAAGTCTTCACGAAAAGTTGTATAGGTGATACTAGAAACTTTTAAATGATATTGGAATAAAATATATTAGAAACGGCCTAAATAACTAATTATGTGTGAACGTATTTCACTTATGTAAAATGATGTTATTGTTGCGTCAGCGAGGTCACGTGACTAGTATCACGCCACGTCCTTCTCGAACCTTCATGAATTATCGGGAGACTACTAGATTGGGGGTAGCTGGTATATATAAGACGTTCACAATGTGACGGAACAGTGCAATGAGTAATTGAATGTATGCGGATAAAATATTGTTGGCCACGTGAGACGTGAGCGTTTGTTATAGAGCGACTGTTGAAATTAAGTGTATCGTAAAGTTGTATTCGGAAAGAATAAACCAGTTTTATTTAAGAAAGAACTTGTGTCGCTAAAGTTTCGTGGGAACGAATTTACGGAAAATTAACTAACGAACGGAGACGTAACATTATTAATGCCCAAGTCCCTTCTGATATCGATTGTTTACCATTATTTAAGTGGAAATGGGTATTGTCTCTTTGTTGTGTTATTTATTTAATTCCAAACCCTTTAAAATAAATTTTGAATTATATTTTATAAAAATGAGGAACCAATTGTTGGTTATTTTCAGTTTAATGATTGAGTATTTATATTGTTGCGTCAGCGGGTCACGTGACTGGTGTGGCGCCCTCTAGTTTCTAGAACTATCTTGTTTCTTCACGAATGCTCTAGTATTTACTAGATGTAGGGTAGTCGGGTATATAAAAGAGGGTGACAACGTGACAGGGTAATGTAATGTGTGTGTGTAGACAGTGAGTAATTGATCTGCAGTCAGAAGTATTATTGAGCACGTTCGTTGTTATAGCGTTTGTTTAGCGTGATTGTTGAAGTTGAGTGTATCGGTAAAGTTATATTCGGAAAGAATAAACCAGTTTTATTAAGTAAAGAACTTGTGTCGCTAAAGTTTCGTCGGAACGAAGTTACGGAAAGTTAATTAACAAACGGAGACGTAACAATATTATTTCTACAACAAGACTGTTAAAGAGAACGTTATTTCTGATTTTTTATTCCTGTAGATAAACCCATTTAATGCAGTTAAATGATGCACTCCAAACCCTGACAGTGTTATAAATTATAAATAAATATATATATATATATAATTAAATTAAAAATATTAATAAGAAAGAAATTAATTTAACAACGTCATTAGCACAGTGCAGATAGTACATTATGCAGCTCTAAACTTAACGAAAGCTTTGCCTCCCCTCCCCCCACCGGTGGTTCAGCTTAAAATGGAGGGCTAATTAATAACTCTAAAATTAAGGTTTCATTCCTGTATTTGGCACAGTGCAGATAATCATTTACGTAGATTAGAACACCTACTCCTCATGTCACTCTCCAGAGTGTCTGAAGGATACATGACATGTTTGGTAACAATTGGTCAGGCCAGTTATAAGCGAGCACATACACACACACACAAACATACAGACTTTTGTCAAATAATGGTTTCGATCTTTGTTTGATTGGATTGTGTGAACAATATTATGTTTTCATAATAAACAGCGCAACTCGGTGATTTCCTGATAGATAGATAGTTAAATTTCATCTTGCTACTGTAATTTCTGTCTCACAATTTAATATCCAGGGGCTTACAAATTAATCTTTATTATATATATAGGCTTAGTAAGAAGTGTGATTAGTATCGATACCTACCAAATCTAATGACATTTAGGCCTAATGCTCGATCACTGTAGAATGAAAGCAAAATATTAACTGATACATCTGGTCATTCGCTCATACATATACATGTATAAACACAAAGAAATGTATATATTTTTGCATTTATTACACACACAAAGATTTCAATACTTCCTTCTCCACAATAGGTTTTTAGATTCTAAACCGACAATATTTCGTACAAATACCATGGCAAACATTTAATAATTATTGATTCAGTAAATAATGTTATTCACATAAAAACTATCCGAGATACAACAATCGTTTTGTGTCATCATTGAAAAAATGCTTGCGTACTTTAGTTATTGAAAATAAGTATTTATCTTTTGAGATATTAATTAATTAAAATGTTTTTCTGTTTCTTAGACACCTTCAAATTTTATGTCAGTGGTGATGATGATGGTGTAACGGCGGACGATGGTGATGGTGGTGATGATGGTGTTCCCCATGAAGAGCAGCATCTAAAGTGCCTCCAACAATAGCTCCAGCTACTAGACCTGCTCCAAAACCGCGCCGTGCAGGGGGATGACGCTGAAAAAAAACATCACATGGCATATGAATGGAAATGCGTTGTTATATCTCATTTATACACAATGTATACTGATTAAATGACACATTATGGGATGGTTCCCATTGAAACAATTAGTTTTGAAACAATTGATGTATTAAGAAAATAGATTTCACATTATTCTCATCAGAATTTTAAAAAATATGCATTTGGATTATAGTACTTTGCAATGTAAAAGATCTTCCTCAGTGTAAGAATATTTTAGAAGAGTAAATTCTAGAGGATGAATAAATTTAATGGTACTGAGAATAAAACAGATAAAACCTAACTCACTATTGTTTTTGTTGCTTAGTTGTAAATATTAAAATACTTGTCATAATATGGAGTTTTCAACAAAGCTGTTCTTGAATCATTAGGTGGTAAATTCACACATCCATCTCTTCACATATATAAGCAACCTTTTTATCTAAATATATTAGTTAGTGGATAGCTAGACATTGTTTTTTATACTCTGTTCTTACATATTTAATATTCATGTATGAAAATTTATTAACTGATTTATGTCTGTCTTGAATGATTATTAAGGGGCTGAGGTCAAGGTAACAACAAAAGATTGCTTAGATAGTGCTCTTTATTTGGCAACTTATGGATACCTTAACTCCAAGACTCCAGAACTAACACTGATTTCATCTCTTTTAGAAGCTGGTTGGTTTATACTGTAACAATTGTTTCTTTTATTATTAAATATAATGTATTTCATCATATCTAATTAAACAGGACTTTTATGTATATTCATTTTATGTTTGTTAGTTTTTTATTGTATTTAATTTACAGTCTGTTTTATTGCAACAAGTTTAATAAAATCCATTGAATTTGATTTCTAATTCACAAGAATTTGTATACCAAGTATTTTTTTTCCATTTTTTACAGTAGTTAAATTATGTTACTGAGTAGGTTATTCAGATTAGACAGTTCAGTGTGTTTAGAACTACAGAATCTATTCAAACATATCTGTGGGAAAAAAAGCCAAAATTCTACTTTAGCCCAAACATTTGGTGATATCTGATAAACACAGCAAAATAAAACAATTACCATTGCTCACAGTGCATTATTTTATTCAGTTTGGTTCCTATTTCATCATGTCACATTTTATTTAGTGTAAGTCAGTGGTTATTCTTAGATGAATTAGAAGCCAAATTTAACGTAAATGCCACCTACTATTTAATCTAAAGCAAAATTTTGGTTTTTATTTTTCACTCTTATGTTTTTGGATCAATTTCACATATTTTTGTATGTTACATCAACCCAAGACTCGTGCAGTGAACTCTGAGAACAAGAGTAACCAGATGAAGGGAAGGAGGGTATTTTTTATTTTTATTAATCAACATTCTTTTTCTCTGACAGCTGATGTGATATTCTTTCAAGAATAAAGTATGTAAGTGATTCAGCTAGGTAGACATAGATTGAATTATTTCCTTCATACCACTAGCATTATGAGTAGCATATATCATAAAAGTTGCAAAAGGTAAAGTAAGGATTAACTGGCCATGGTTGCCATGTGCTCATATTGCAAGTGCTTAGCCCAGCATTTGCTATGGACTTGGTGTTCATAATTCTTTGTTTGATTTGTTGTTATATACAAAATTACACAATGGAATATATGCTGAGCCCACCACAGGTATTGGAAGCTGGTTTTTAGTGTTATAAGCCTTCAGATTTACTGCTGAGTTGGTGGGAGATTTTTTTCTTTTGAAGTGCCAAATAATGGTAAAAATATGGGTTTATTTCAAACTAGAAGTGTGCACATTGAACTTTCCTCTACACATGTGTGTACTAAAAAAAGGAATAGTTCAACATTTTTTTATTGCTGGACATAGTTGTGATATTGAAAACTTTAACATTTTCTGGAATACTTCATATATAGCTCTAGAATCAAAAATAGGCAAAGATGGTCAATGAAATTTTGCAACCTGTTTAAGATGTTCAGAATAAAGCAAAATAAATAACATTATTAATTTTGGATAAGAAGAATAAGCAAGTATATTTTATGCATAATAAGCAAATTATGTAAACAAAAAAGACTACAGTAATTTGTTTTCTTCTTTTTTTTTTAATTGTGGCTACTAAACTACTATTTTGTTTCATTATACCATTTTTGAGCCTTGAAAGGTGTTTCATAGCTTCAGAGTTGCTGTTTTAATTATAAGGCTTTTGAAATTATGTTTTGGAAGAGACTTAAATACATAACCAGTTTAATTTTAATTAAATAATAAGCTATTGTTTGTTGTATTGTTATCAATTTTTCATGTACATGTATATATTTAGGTTTTAATTAAATGTTTATTTAACTTCTAAGCCTAAATGTAAAATAGTCATTATTATGCCTCATGACAGATTTGTTACTTGTAATAGAAGGAAACATTTTTAGACTGGTACAATATTGGGGGGATACAGATAACCTGTATTTAGCTAGAACTGTAAACATTATTGAATTAAAAATAACATTTAATTTCTACATAGTTTTGTATGCTGTTTAAAAGAAGATAGTTTTAGATCTGAAAGATGCATGGTTTAACTACCTGGATATTGATACTACTAACTTGGAATCTATTAGATCCCAAATAAATTGTTTGTTTTTTTACAACATATGATAATATAATGATTACACAATTAATTTTAATAAAAATTATGAAGTTTAATGTGGATGTATTTAGCGTGAAATGATAAACTATTTGTAATTTAAACTAAAATACAATGCAACAATATGAGTTAGCACATTACCTATATTCTTCTTTAACAGTAGTGGTTCTTTGGATTTCTGTTTTTTTTGAACTAGTTATTTGAAAATGTAAAACAAATAGTTGCATTGATGTAATATGAAAAGATCAGTATATATATATACTGTTATTTGTTTATTGTTTAATCCTTTAAAATATCACTCTAAAACTATAATGTGGTTGTTTTAAATTGCTAGAAACAAGCTTATGTTTTTGTTATTTATTGTTAAACCTCTTTACTCAGATTCTGAAGAAACTAATTTTATTGTCATCCTTTTCATGAATAACTGTATTTAATAAACTTCCTTGAATCATATATCAGATGTTTTTATTCATTTATATTTTTCATTGCAGGCTGTGATGTGAACCAACAGAATAAAGCAGGTTTTACAGCCTTACACCAGTCAGCCTCTAAAGGCAACATTCTGCTGACTGACTTCCTGTTGAAAAATGGTATAGACATTATATAGTGAACTTAACCCTTGGGCTAAATTGTTTTAATAGATTTTAGTATTCACTTATTTCTGTTTCTTCCAGGTGAAAGTTAAATTATATCACTTTGTCAGCTAGAGTCAAATCTGTATTACAGTAAAAACTCCCAGTAGAAACCTAGCAATGGTTTGAAAGTAGTGATTTACTTAATGCTCTAAATCTTTATGCTCATGGTATGAAGAATCTTCAAAATGTTGTAATAGAGTTTGAAATTCAAATTCTTCTATATCAACAGGCTCAATCTGAGTTTACAATTAAAATCAAGTAGGGCATAACTAATTTCTAACAGGTCCAAACACTTTTTAAGAAAATTCTATAAAAAAAAGAGTGTATTATTACTGTATACCAAAGTAAGAAAGTATAGAATTAAAACTTGTTTCCCTTTTATATTTGTTATGCCGAAAAGGAAGCCACATTAAATATGAGTTTTTGTGTTTTAAAATAACATTAAAAAATTTCAATTTATAATTACCAAGATATGTGCATGTCATAAATGTAGGTATGACTTAGTTTTATTGCAGGCTTAGCTATAGACTTGTCAGTTGAAATACACAAGGTCAAAATACAAGCTTTAATATAAAATGAGTGAAGAAATATAAATGCGAACTAAGTGTGTTTCATCGCATATTCCAATTGTCAACAATGCTCTCAGATTTATTCCCCCTATAAATTAAGTCATTTATGTGAGAAGAAAAGAACTAATGTAACTATTTCATATTTTAGTAAATAACTTGTATATGTATTGATTTATATTTTACAAGTTTTCCTTATTATTTGAACAGATCTTCAATACTTACACTAATTTATTCTTTTCCATACTAACAGAAACTATTCTGACACAGCCTTGTCTCCTGGTTTCAGCTCTCCAAAAGTGGGTGGTGATGTCTGCCATCTCTATTTGTCACTACAGCATCATCTCCTAGGAAAAACAACTTGGTGAACATAAATGTATATATATATTTGTATCAAAGGCTATTTTTTAATGACAAAAGACCATTTCAGAAACATAAGATATGTGTCATTGTCATGGTTAGTAACCTACACGATTGTGTGAATCTAATTATCAATTTTTGTATTCTCAATTATTAGATAATGATTAATACCTTTTGTATCTTGCTTTTTGGATGCTAATATGCTGCCATCTTTTATAGAATCCATATTCAAAAACAATGTTGTAAGTGGTGTTTTTGCTCTCTTTTGAGTCTTTGGGTGGTTTGGTGTTTACTAACTACGATCATGTTTTGGCTCCTGAATGCTGTTCTGAGTTTATACTGTGTATGTATCATCTGTATGTTTTCAGAGACCTTTGGTGTAGAGGATATGTGTGTCTGTTATATAATTATTGGTGTTTATCTTCTTTATTTTGTTCATTATCAAATTTTCCAGGAATCCATTGTCAATGTTTGCAGGTTATAGTGATGTGTTTTTCTTCCATTTACTTAGCCTCTAATGCATTGTAAAAACAAAAATTTAGAATTCAGAGGCTTAACAGATATGCATAACTTTGAAATACTAATCTAACTGCAATAGCCCATTATGCCAGAGAAGACTGCAGTGATAAACTGAAATAATACTAAGATATGAATACTAAGACATTTTATAATCATAGCATAAAAGTCAGTAAAAGTTGGATATCCCTCTTGAAACCATTTAAGAAAGTTAGTTGAAGTCCTAATCAGTTTCATAAACAAACCTGGGCATCACTAGAGCATGCTCACATTGTAGACAGCATTTTGATTGAGTCCTGTTGTATGCCATTTCGGAAACATAAAGTATGTGTCATTATCATGGTTAGTAGCCTACATGATTTTCTGAGTCTAATTCTCAATTATATTTTACAACTATTCCCCTGAGCCACCACGATTGAATTGTTGGAATGGATCATAACCAGCTGGTGGCTGGCAAAAGAAAAAATTTGATCCAAAGCCTGATGAACAGCCAGGAGTTCAAGAAGAGAACTCTCATCCACAGACCAATGACCCAAAACTTTCTGGCGATCCAACCAGGCATCCAGCCCTGAATGGATACATCCATGCACAAATGTAAACTGCTGCGGAGGAGGAAGTGGGACCCCTGCCGATGGGTGGGCTCTGTTCAAACACCAATGGAGATCATCTACAATAGATGAGGGAAGGGATGTTAGAAAATCCAAGAGATCCTGGGCAAGGATCCATCAATCATGAAGGAACCATTGAAGAAACCACATATGGGCCCTGCCAAGGGGCATGAGAGGGGTCATGGAGGGCCACATCCCGAAAAGCAATAGAACCCCGTGAACTGTAAGTGAGGGAACAGACAGGGCTTTCTGACAAGGCCCATTCCATAGAACGGAGCCAGAGAGGAGAAGGTTGGGCCCTGCTGGGATGGGTGTTGAAGAAAACACCCAAATGGATAAGGTATTGGGGAGGACAAAGGAAAGACTTCTCCAATTTGACCAACCAGCCCACCCACGCAGTGTTGGCCAGGAGCTGACGAGTGTAACAGGCTGATTCCCATTTAGAATGAGCAAGAAGAACCTAGTCATCATATATACATGGCAGCACAACCCCATGGCATGAATATGTCGAGCAAAGGACCAAAACACATATGGTGCAGAGAAAAGCTAATCTTGTGAGTTTTTCATCTGAAATGAAGTTGTGACTGTCATTAGGACCATTTTACCAATATAATTAATATCATGGTGGTTTCCATTGTTTGAAAGTAAAGAAAATATATTGCCTTCAAACATTTCACAATTTTATTATTGAGTTGATTTAACTTTTATGACATGAACTTATCCTTACTATAATATAAAAAAGTTTAAGATATGCATACCACCTACTTAGTCAATGGACCACGATATACTACACACACACAAAACAAGATTTAAATATTCTGTTTACCCAACCATCGAGTTGCCAAGACTCTTCTAGGTCGCGTGAAGGAGATGTTACCAGGAGCTCCTTGTAAAGTCCTCATGTGCAAAACAACACAATCTCCTGACTGGAAATGTATAAACTTTAATTAAATCCTTTTTGAATTTAATTAATTAACTTACAGCTAATTTCTTTTACTAATAAATATTAAATTGTCATGATAGAAGTTGTAAAGTGCGAGTTTGCAAAGAACTTTGGAACATGGTAAGTTATGTACATATATTTTTTCAAATATTGACAGGGTTTTTATTGAATTTAGTTGTCCTATTATAATACCCATAACTTGAAAACATGTCATTAAAAGCTAGTATATATATGGTAGATGAGGTAAGAAGATGATGGGAAAGGTGATTTCATTATCATGAGGAGGGAGCTGTAGTACAATTTAATAACAGTGACTGTATAAAAACTACATCAAACATGTTGAGGTTTATTTTTTCCATTATAAATTACTCCTGGCAGTTTACCTCTAAAGAATTGTGCCCTTAAAGCATTACTACAACATAGTAATAATGTTCGGTGTAGGGGGAGTAGTCATCCCCCATCAAGTTCAGAAGGGTACCGCCAATGGCAGCTTCTGCTAGACATTTCTAGTCGGACTGAATTAACACATTTACACAAATTACGTCATAGTTAAATTGATGAGTTTGTGCAAGGTGAGTCATCTTTGCCCCCCCCCCATCCTTTCCAAGCCTTATGTGAAATGACACACACACAGTGGTGCAACATTAAGGTAATACTGACATGGAAGGTGGTCATGTAGAAATGAGAATCTTATAATTAGATGTGAACAAAAAGGATCATGTAACTTGGAACATATCAATACTACACTAAACAAGAAGAGTTCTAAATGAAAGTCTTCATGCAAGATGGGGCTCCACCCTGCAATACAAGGTTTCAGAGGTTGAATGACCAGCATGGTCTACAGATCCCACCAGTGTTGATATCAATATTACTGTCTTCTACGTATCTTCAGAAAAATATTAGAATTAAGTACAAAGGTTTTTGATAATGATATTTAGGATCAGGTAGATGGTAGGGCAGTGGGCTCTTGCCTTGTCCTAACACTAACATACTTAAGCCTGTTCCACTATGAAAGGCAGTGATTGGCCAATTGTACAATTGAATTCAAAGTTCAAATCTTTGTGTTACAAAAGATACGTTGATGACACTTTTGTCTTATTTCACGAAAAGTAGCTCCAGGTTCTGATGTTAGTGTCTTTCACAAACACGTCTTTATGTATTATATTTATAGTTTATTATAGCTATGACAGTGTTATAACATTATTTTAAACATAACCTTCTAAAGCTTTTAACAACTTAAGTACATAAAATTTGTAGTAACTTACGTTAAACATGAGTTGTCAAACATTAATTAATTCGTTGAAAAGACGGATTTTCTTATTACTAAAGAAACTAATATTAACGACACTCATACAGTTGATAACATTACTCTTTCATGTCTGGGTAGGTCCACCAGTGGTATGTCTGCGGACTTACAACGCTAGAAACCGGGTTTCGATACCCGTGATGGGCAGAGCACAGATAGCCCATTGTGTAGCTTTGTGCGTAATTAAAGTACAATGTCTGGGTAGTAAATCCTTGTTATTAAGGACTAAAATTGTTAACTTGTTTAAAATCGTTTGAAAGGCTATATTGAGTCCACTACGGAATGTCTTTGGCAAATGGTTATAGGACATTGAGCGAAAGGCCTCGTCAGCACTAGAAGTAACAAATATGGAGTGGTTGGCATATATTATATATTTTTTTTTGTTTTCACTCGCATGTTCTCAGAATCGTACTTCTTCCGTGTATAACAACTCACCTGTTTTGTAACATGATATGAGGCGTGAGGTTAACAATTTGACCTTCTATTCAAGGAAGCAGATGAAAGAATTTACAGCCTGACATAAACATCAAAATTACAGATGGCTAGTGCGGATAGCCCTCGAAAGCCCTACAGAATTAAAAAACATATATAAATGAAAATCACTGTCTGGTGATATCTAATTACCTAACATTTCAAATGTCAAGGCTAAACAAGAAAAAAAAAGGCAATGATTAGGTTTCTGACCTAATTTTAGTGATATCAGCGAAAGAGTGTTAAATTTATCTGAAATAGACTCCTATGACGTCATGGCTCATACGTGATCTAGTCGTTAATGGATCGAAAGGGCGGAGATTCAAGAACGCGCTCCATACTATGAATGCTCTATAAAAGTAACGGTCAATATCTTTAATCAGTTCAACGAGTTGGACGAAGCCCTTTGGAGACGAATACTGCTGGCTGGATTCCTTTCTTGTGATTCAAAATTATAGACGACCAAACCCGAATCTTCATGTAGCTTTAGTTTATCTGTCAATAAGTGCTCCAACAGCTCATTGTAGTCAACAAATATGCTTTACGAAGACATTTTTAACTACGATAACATGATCACATTACATCGTTTAAAAATAAGCCAAAAATGCAATTCTCTCTCTCGATTTTTTAAACAGTCTGTGAGACATGAATATTTTATTCCCAAACAAAGCTTTGGGGATTTTTTTTTTTAATTTCCGAATAGAGATTTGAAGTCTCAGCAATATATAGATTCTGCACTGCCCACCAGAGGGACAGAATTTGTCGTAGGTTCGAAGCTATGATATAGCAAAACCCAAAATCCCACACAAAACACGGTAGTGGCCTCACGTATTGTGTAATACTAGTTCTATAAAGCTGTTTTCGCGGGTTCTGACAAATAGAGATGGCTGAGGAAGCTGGCTTGTTACCGCTGTAAGTGCTTGAACACGAACACTTGAACTATGTTGTGCAAGAGAAACGCAGTCTGGCAAAACACTATTGAGAGGTGAGTTCTTTTGACAGTGTTTTTTTTCTTTAGGCTAACAGATCGAGTCCTTTATTGAAGTACTTTGTTTTATTATTCTAGTTTGAATACCGGAAACCTTTGGTAGCCCACCCGATTCCAAGAATTCGATGTCCTTGGTTCGCAGCCTGGATGTTAAAATAATGAACGTAAAGATAAAACTAAAAAGGTAATTTAAAGGATGAATAAGCATGACTAAATGTTAAACTTGCGGATCTGAGGTTCGTGCCCCATTACCACACACACACACAAAACTTGCTCCTCATTTTGGAGCCATGGAGTGACGGTCAATTCCCACTATACAATCTGTAAAGAGTTGGCTGTAGGTGATTTGGACCAGCTGCCTTCCCTCTAGTCTATCATTTCAAAATTAAGAACATATAGCGCAGATAGCTTTGGTATAGTTTGGCGCGAAATTCAATAAAATAATTTCAGAGATACGTTTTAGCAAACGTGTACATAACGTACTGAAAAATGGTCTTCTATGACGTCAACCCATCACAATGAATGGATACCATTATCTCAACACGTCAGCCTAACTAGATATTCCTGGTTATTCTTATGACGTCATCGTACTAGAGAAAGGTTTGGTTTTAACGTTTCCTATACTAAATAATGTCCAACCTGAAAAGTTTTTAGTTTGACAAGTAATGAAAATGTGCACTCGGATTCAAAAAATCTTTCTGAGCTTAAGAATGCATATAGTGATCCAGCATATATTAAAGAGTACGTTATTATTTATCAATCAGTTGCAGTGTTCACTAAGTAATGTTAGACCAACAAATTCCTCCGATCATCCACTTATATACCTGAACATCCCACTGCAGGATGGTGTAGTGGTCTCGCCCAGCATCAATGTCTGGAACATCTTCAAATACTCGATCAAAGCAGTTGTTTTCCAGCTCATAGTTTCGGAAAGTAGCAAATTTTCTTGGGTAAAACCATTTTCCCCACCGATGAGAGCCAGCCACAAATTGGATGCTGGAGTCCTTTGATACGGAGTCTACGGGCATCCATACCGAACATACCTGATTCGAAAGAAAATTCAGAAACTTCTGTTTCTCTTAGCTGGTGGTTGGAAAAACTAACTTTTGAAAACATATTAAAAATAATTGTACATTTTCATGTTGAGTTCGAAAAGCTAGGACTTTTTTACGTGTTTAATGTAGTAATTAGAACCTTCTACAATCTTTTTACAGTCTGTAGTTTTTGTGCTATAAAATATTCCTATCAACGTTGTTGAACCATGTCATTTCGTTATTGTAGCGTCTAAAGAGATTTTCAACAGTTGAACTCTGAAATTTTGCATTGTTCTTTGTACAATAGCAGCTCAACAACATTAACGTTATCTATAGCAGAGACTGCTGATATAGCTATTAAAAATCTTTGACTTAAAAACATTTTACAAATAGCGGTTCGACCTGTTTAGGTCATCATCGGGTCAAGAATGGCTTAAGCAAGTTGAAACATTGTTACTTTTATTGTTTAAAATAAAACTTTTTAATGCCCATATCAGCCGTCTCTGTTATGGACTTACTTCAAGTGATCAACATCATGAATACTAATATGATGTTTTTTCTTGATCTTATAACACGACATTAACTAGATTTTTCTGGACAGAATGGTATGTTGAATTAGTTGGGCGTTGGTGTCCGAAACATCGTCAAATACTCGATAGAACCAGTTACCTTCTGAAGAAGTCCTCAATCAGGAAGCCGAAAAATCGTCCAAAAACTGACAACGTACAAAACTTAGATAAACTCGAGACCTTATAGCTACGCCAACGTACCATTTTGTCCATAAAAACCTAGATACTTTCGTTTTATATTGTCTTAAGTGAAGACTTAAGTATCTTAAACTGCGCACTGGCAGACGTGCTGCGATAGGACTCCACAATTGGAGGGAGGAAAGCCAGTGCTAACATCCTCTAGTGTGTGGATAAAATAAACCTTTCACTCAGAGACGAAGTTACGCTCTTTAACGGCGTTTATGTTAACAGAGCCAAAAATTTAACGTTTGATTCGTCCCTTCTAACCTAATGAATAACAGTAACTTATCTAGAAGAGAATTAGAAATTAAACTATTATATATACAAACCTTAAATCCATCGATAGGATAGTAGGATTGGTCGTGATGCCATGGAGTTTTCTGGGTCGTTCCTGGTTCTTTGACTAGCACGTGCTCGTGATAGAAGGCAGAATACTGCAAGAGCAAACATCTACAAATGAACTGTGGTTCACAAAACGTATTATATGATGGAAATCAACGAAGAACTTACTAACCGTTTGTGTTTTGCGTTCTAGAACTTGTTACTTTAATTTCTAATATTTCAAAACACTGACGTTCAGATGTCTTACATAATTTTTGAACTACGTTTAAACTATTTCACTCTAGAACTACAAACGAATGGGTGGGATCCAGATGTGACTTCTACTTATTCGTTACAGGATCATATGGGCCTGGTGGTCGACTCACAAGCGCTATGGGTTGCGGAATCGAAACCCGATATCTAACATGCCCTTTCAGCCGTGGAGGCGTTATAATGTGACGGTCAATCCTACTATTCGTTGGTAAATAGTTGGCTGCCAGCCGGTTGCCTTCCCTGTAGCCAGCAGTTCAAAATTAGGGACCGCAGCAAGTAGCCTTAGCATCTTTGCCATAAACATACAAAAATGTTGAGACAGTAATATTATCAACATTAGAATTATTCCCTCTATGTGAAATCACACATTTTGTACACGACAATGATCGATTTGACCCACTTTTGGGTCAGTTCTTTACACACTGAGTTGGAAAAAGGAAAGATATAAAATTATCCAATATGTTACAATATACTGACCCCATCGGTATTGAACGATATGAAAAGAAGTCAATAATTTGAGGGTTAAAGTCGTATTTCTGCTTTCCATGTCAGTTGTCGTTATGGAGATAGAATCTTTATGTAGAATTTGGGTTTCACGATGACTCCCGGTTTCTTAAACAAAGCAGTCACTTCATGCATATGTGTTCACTTACTGAGTTTCCAGCTGGCATCTTGTAGCATAGCATGTAATGTCCAATCATCATCTTTCTCATCCTGATGAACATTAGTTACGTGTACCAGTTAAATTACCCACTTTGTTTTATTTTTCTATTCGTCACCTTGAAAACACAGACAGAGAACTTAACTTTTCGTTGATTGTTATACAATGTGTTTTGATAATGATATTTTATTTAAACGTGTTACCATAATAAATGCTTAGTTACTAGTTGAAATGTTGAAAGAATTGGTATTTTCAACCTGAACGGTACTTCATGCTTGCGTGGGCTAAAGACCAGGTCAGAGAACCTTATGGTTAAGGTATATCCGTCCCTAATTTCGAACCTTTCACAAGAAGTAGTAAGCAGTAACCTTCGTCGCAACGTCCTTATCAGGATCTTTGAATAACGGAACTGCGGCCACAGCTAAAACTTCGAAGCATGTAGAGCGGCGTAACGTGCGCCACATCAGGTCCGGCAGACCGGGTAGCAGCCGGACCGACATTTTGTTACAGTAACTGTTGGGCTTCTTAAACTTTAACTTGCACTTCAAAAATTGTTTCTAGTTTAATAGATAGACTTGTAGTATTATGTATGTATGAATGAATCAGTATAACAATGCATGATAAAGACATAATGGAAGTCAGGGAAAAAAATATTAACGTGAAAAAATAAGCAGATAAATGACTTACCTGACATTTTGACCTCATCGCTTTATCTTATATTTTCGACCCTATGATCTATCTCCAGTTACAAAATGCCCCAACAGTGGCACAGCGGCATGCCTACGAACTTACACCGCCATTAACCAGGTTTCTATACCCGTGGTGGGCAGAGCACAAGTAGCCCATTGTGTAGCTTTGTGCTTAAAACCAATGAAAGAAAAACGGCTATAAAAATATTTATTTGTATGTAATGAATAGTAATTTTGGACCTGTAACTCAATCCACGCTGGGAAAATTTATGGGAGGGTGAAATATGTGTGCTACACTCCCTCCCCCAACCCCTTCTGATGCCTCCGGTGTGTATTATAATATATTTAAATGTGCATGTAAATGTTTTAAACAGAAGAAAAGCTCTCTGTCACCTGCTTATTTGTACAATAGTTCTTTACATACCTGAGACTGCATTAGAAGACCTGTCATCTCAGCAACTGGTGACTGAAAGACAAAGTCCCTGAATTCGGAAATCCAAGTCCAGTTGCAGTAATCATCGAAATAAGCTCCTGATTCATTCTGTCCTCTCAAAGTCTCAGAAAAAGAGCTTTGATTCTCCAAGTTTCTTTGTATTCCCTTTTCTACGGCTTTAACCCATTTAAGGTCAAAAACATTTCGAATACAAACAGCACCATTATTCTGGTATTCGTCGATAACTTCTGACGTGATTATGTTCTGCATCTTCAGTTCTGAAATTAACTACGACACACTGGATAACGTCCTTAATCTTTATCCACGTGTTTATCGCTTAGCTTGTAGAATCCTATACAAGACGATGTTAAAGCTTTCTCGTCGTGTAGCTGTGACGTCATATCTTCTCATGCCTGATTGATTGAAGCTGAAATCCAATTCTCTTCGACCTTCCGAGTAAGAACCGATTAAAAACATATTTCATGTGTATGTATTGCTTTTATATATTTTGTGAAAACCAACTGAAAGTGACAAAAACGTGAAGGGAAATGCGATTTTTAACGTATCACAGGGGGTAGCACCAGGGAACGGGGTAGAATTTTAAAACATCGTATGTCCTGAAGCTCTAAACATAATTTCCTTCGTGCAGTTATTTCACACAAATATATAAATTATAGAAAATTGAAATCATTGACGAACAAAGTTGCCAGAAATTACAGTACGTTTGTGGCCCAACAAACATTATCATCCTAATTGTTCACTCAGCTATTTGGATGGCTTAAGAGACTGATCAACTATTATACCAAGATCCCTTTCTTTCATGACACTGTTAATGTTATTCCCAATCAATATATACTTATAATAGATCAATGATCACTTGCACCCAGATGTTCCCCAATTTCCACCCTCTCAATCATTTCTATATTTGAAGTTAACAATAAATCTAGAATATTATTGTTTCTAGTTGGTTCCTTGACTAATTGGTGAAGAAAACCATCTTGATCAGGTTCCAAAAACCTTTCTCCCTCATGGTTTGACTCTAACATTTCCCAGTCTA